ATAATATCAAAATTTCAGCTTCATTGACTTAGGATTCAGGATACTAAAACTCAATCAGTTTGGCATATGAAAATGTTTCTTTACTTGCAAAAGGACTTATGTAAGGATAAGGTATAAAGTCAGCAAAACAAACTGAGCTTGGACTGTTGCGAGAGATTGGAAATAGTGCCAGGCAAGATTACCGGCCAGCCTGGGCTATGCCAGGCAAGTCTGCTACCATTTGGTTCTACTCGCAACAGTCCAATCCAATATGGGTTGGACACAGTCTCGCATCTGATCAAAATGGCCTTGGCCATGGGCTGAGGAGGAAACTGATGTGCCTGATTGTGGCTTTGGTGGTGCGTGCACCCCTACTCCACCAAATTATTAACATCCATGTTTTTGAGACTTATTATTAACCAGGGGAATTATAACTGAAATTCCAGGTTAAAGTGCATAATAGCTCCCAATGAAGCTTTAGCCTTGTGAATTTAAAAATATATAGTTAAGACATCCAAACAACCCATAATTAGAATGGATCAGGCAAATGAACAACCTACCTAGGCATAACAAAGAGTTGATGAACCATCTGACAGCATTCCAACCAAAACCAACTCAGCAAAAGAAGGCCTGATGAAATTTCTTAAAGGAGGAAAAATAGGTGAAATACTTTGTTGTAAATAATCTCTAAATGCATTCGGTGGAATGAAATAACAAAAACCATCTTCATCAATAAACATTAAGGTAAGGTAGAGATGGAAAATAACAACATGTGCATAACAGCACAGTGCCCAATAGTTGAACTGAAAGTTATTACAATGAAATGTATAAATAATTAGCTCTAAGCAAGACCAAATGCATTGTTTCAACCATAATACAATTAACTAAGTCTATAAAAACCAGTGCATCTCAAAAACAACTCTCTCATCTCTGGATTTGACATTTTGAGTCAACTACTTTCTCATGCTTTGTGAGTCACTCAGAATCAGGCAATATACTGTTTAAAAAAATAGTGCCCTAAAGCTTGTGATTACCAGGTGATAAATCATAAGTTGTTCCAAAAAAACATAATAAGAATACATGTAAGCTTTCGGTCCTGTAAACAGACCTAAGGACCATGTATTTTGCTACTGGAAATTAAAATCCGTCAATTATAAAGCTATTCAACTTTAGAATACTATCGCAGAAATTAATGTATTTGAGTACTGACCATAAAATCGTAGAAAGAATAGTAAAATTTGAACAAATATATTGAATAGAGCTAGTTAATTGGATTGCAAGTGCATTACTGTATATTGAACCGAGGTGTAATACAAGATAATCATATATACTGAGTCTAATTTATAAGAGATCATACCTTTCATAGCATCAAGAATGTCTTGGATGCTGCAATAAGAGGAAACATGCATCGCCATCAGGTAAGAATTTAGCACATCCCAAAAATAAATCTCACGGTCGTAGCATCAGCAGGTGGCTTTGTGCATCCAACATAATTCACAATAGCGAGGCTTGCAAACAACCATATCTAAGGAAAAATGAAAATACATCTGTACTTCCAGTCAAATAAGTATCAAGAAGATGTATTTAGTAAAACAATTCAGCTATTATGGCATTTTAAAATTGCGGGAGTATCTCGTGCATTGTTGTTCTTGGCCTTCTCTCTCGTATGGAATTCACCGTTACAAAACAATATATATATGAGGGGACTATTAAGCATTATACGACAAGATACATAACAGTTCTCTCTTTGATAACTTGGGCACTCATCAAATTGCACTTTATTTATGTTGCTCTGTGTGCCACGAACAGAAATGACACGTGAATTTAGTTTACACAATGAAAAACTGTCCGCAGATTCACAATAGATTCGAAAGATGTGTGATGTAATGGCTCATTAGCTAATCTAGAAAAATCAATAGAATCTCAAAACACAGTTAGTCAGAGGCCTATTTTTAGGCCTCATAGGATTGAAAAGAAATGGGGACAAATCTAAAAACTCTTCAATTTGGCACAAATGGAGCACGACCAAAATAAATCAAAGGGAAGGAGAACATTTCATTGTAAGGTAAAAAAGCAAACTAAAAATTCTATAGATATTTTATGCATAATGTACCTAGAGTATCTAATTCTACAGTACCATATGAGTATTCTCAATAGTTCAGTTCCTAATTTGGTCAGTAAGTTAGTATTGACACTCATTTGATAATATACTTGTTTAGGAAAAAGTAGAAACAAGATTTTTGGCTGGAATCAGATCAAATTGAATTGAACAGGTATTTTCGAAGCTTACCCCTTGATTACCGTCCCAAGACCGCGAGTTTGAAGGCTGTCGTGCGTGTGCTCGCAGCTCTCCTTGGTAGCCACGAACAGACGAATTACCCCCGCCACGGACATCATGGTACTGGTAGGTGCCGCCAATACCACAACTTTTGGATAGCTGCCACAACCTCGTCCCGTGGATGCCGCAGCTGCCCGCCATGGACTACAGGAATCGAGGTCTGAAGGAGGACGCCACGAATCTCCTGCTCGGTGGAGAATGTGATGAAGCCGAGGTCGTATCTATGCTGTCCCTACCGCCGACGCCCGCTCTGCAGCCCTGTGTGCCTCCGCGGCGATGAAGACGCACGGATCCGAGGGCACTCCTACTCTGTGATGAGGAGGCGACGGCCCGGAGGAGGGCGGGGCGGGGCGGCTGCGGCGGGGGCAAGTCGAAGCTGGGAGGGAACTCTTTCTTTAGTAGAGAAGGGAGTAGCGCCGGCTCACCTGCTCTGCCAGGCCTGCCTCGTGCGCCAGCGACGCGCCACGGATGGAGTCTCGGTGGGGGAGGGCAGCAGGGATAGGCGGCGCGGAGCGAGGCGCCTGAGCGGCGCTCCTTCTCCTTCTAGGCGCTCCGTCCTAGGAGCAGTGAACGATGGCGTCGCGGGACGTGGCTGGACGAAGGCAGCGAGGGATAGAACACGGCGGCGGCGGCGGCACGGGCGGGCGCTGGGACCTGGCGGAGTGCGTGGGGCGCAGGGGAGGACTGGCTGTGTGGGAGGATGCAGGAGATTGGGGCGGTGACCGGGCGGCGCGGCGACGAAGTGGAGCGCAGGGAGCTGGGAGAATAGATTGGGGGCGTGGCTCACATGTCGGCGTAAATAGGAGTTACCAAGGTGGCCTGGCCTAGCGGCTTCACAACAGGGAGTGAACGGGTCCTGTTTCCTCTTTTTAGGAGTAGAGATTACAACAGGTGCAGTGTTACCTTTGCCCACATTTCACCGGAGTAATAGGTAATGGCCTACGGCCTTACAAAATTTTCATGAAATACAAGTTGATTGGATTCCCAGTGGTGAACCTGTCCATCCGGGTTAAGTTCTCGACTTGGCATGATTGCTCGTATTTTTTTAGATTTATTTTAAGATTTAACGGCGCTATGCTTTTAATTGTATCTCGAGATCTGCCGACTCAGTCATTCGAAGATGCTTATAGAGGTACGATTTACGTACGTGTGTTTATAGAGGTGAATATACGTGCGTGTTGTGAACGTCAGTGTAATTCTCAAAAAAAAAAAAATAGTAATGATGATCCAGTTACGGTGGATACAAATGCAAAAGCGAGATGCTAGCCGTTAAGACAAACTGTGCTAGCTAAAAACAGCAAGTTGTGAACTAATTCTGGATTGGGTATTAAAAAAACCTTTTTTTTTTTACATAATGTGCACAGTTAAACCACAGCAACTTGGCTGGGTAGGGTGAATCTCTTGTAGCGAAAGTCTCTTCTCATTGTGATAAGTTTCTAGTCCGCACTCCGCAACAGTCGTGCTCCGCCTGCCGGCGAAAGGCCCATTTCCATGTCCCGCGGTCACGTCCTCACACCAGTTTCAGCCCAGGTAAATAAAATCGTGTCCTGCATTTTTTATTTTTTATTTAATATTTTAACAATAGCCACTCTTATTTTTTTTAGATCTGACCTTTTGGCACACTAGCGCGCACGGCAACATCTGACAAGTTGGATGACGTATTTTTTTTTTCTAATGCGTCAAACACTAGTACGAGAGTATTATACTGTTGAATTTTTTATTAATTTTGGGCATCTTAACGTCCTTAAATAAAAGACACAAAACTAGAAAGTTATAGATCTCGAATTCTACTATTTTTATATAAAATTCATTTCACCCAACGTTCACGCTACCCCTTTGACGTGACAGAACAATATTGTCTCACAGCGTGAGAAGGTTTCCACGTCGAAAACGCTGCCCAATGTGACAGGTGTCACTGTGATAACGCATGTGAGGCGGTAGCGTTTGTCGCGCCAGCTGCACAGCCAGAGGAGTCAGATCTGTATAATTTTTCTCGGAGCAGTTATTATTAAAATATTAAATAACAAAGGATAAAAAAAATCCCATAGCCACCAACTCCATCTACACGAACACCCACAAACCATGCATTGGAAGACCTTTTTACATATCGGACGTGTTTTCCTGATCTGGGCCGTATTCATGCGCCACCGACCGGATTGGTTTCGTAAGACACCAATTGCGAAATCCAAACTTAAAATAGGTTTTTAATGTAATATTTATAGTAACACAGTACCTATATGGAAGACCCATTTTAGATACTAGAGAGGCATAATCTAATTTGAGTATTCTCTCTGCTGGAGACCTATTTGAAAAAAAAATATTTTTTGTCTCTTTGTTGGAGAAGATAAAAATATGTATTGAATCCTTTGTATATAACGTTAAAAAAAACAAATAAATCTTGTTTTTTTTATCGCAGTTGCCGGTGTAACGCCCGGCCCAAGCATTCAGTCTAACGACCGACGCCACCGCGCCAGGTCTCTCAACACTCTTTTTTTTATTTTTATTTTTATTTTTATTTTATCGGAGGTCTCTCAACACCTGACCGTCCCTATTGGCTCCGCAAGTCGCCCAGACCAGATTTGCCAGAACGCAGCCTCGCGTCTCGAAACCCTAGCCGCACGCAGCTCTCCCCTCGCCTCGCCTCTCGCCTCACCTCACCTGCCGCGCGGCACGGGCAGACGCCATGGCCGCCGAGAATTACTGGAGGTACGCCGACGCGCGGCAGCAGCAGCAGGCGATGGTGGCCGCTGCGGCAGCCGCGGCGGGGATGGCCCCCGCGGCGACCGTCGCCGCGGCCCAGACAGCCGGGAGCGCGGCTGCTGCCATGAATCAGCAGGCCGCCGCCGCCGCCATGGCACAGCAGGCTGCTGCCGCCGCGCCGCCGCTCAAGCGCGCGCGCCCCGACTTCGGAGGTTCGTGCCCACCAGATCTTGCTTTTTGTTTGTTTGTTTGGTGGCTATTTCCCCCCCTCTGATCTCCTCGTTGGCCGTGCTCTGCATAATTTTGGAGGAGTATCTGGCTGGTTATTAGGTTCGTAATTTTAGATCCAACGTTTAGATCTGCAGGGCTGTTATGATCCAACGTTTAGGTAATTGTCCATGCATCGGGGCTGTCTGCCATAGTTTCGGTGTGTAATAAAATATTAAAATTTGACAAGCTAGGTTCGTTGCACTATATTGAGAATTGTGTCCTGGTTGACTTTTCTTGAGCTAAACTTGTTGGTATTGTTGATTTGGGGAGAAAATTATGTAATGATATTGCTTAGGCATCTGCCGATTTGGCTTATGGTGGAAAAGGATGGTGGCCATATCGTTATTTTTATTGCACAGGGCTTTTACAGAAACAAAATGAGCGTTGATCTTGCACTTCATGTATTCCTGGATGGGTCGGTCAGATGTAGTGTATTGATTGGTCGAGTTTGGTGCTCAGGGAATATATTGTTTACTATTCAACTTATTAAAATAGTCATCAATAAAAAAAAGTGAAGCTGAGACTGGGAGTCTTTTGTAGTTCTGTCTTCTGTTATGGTCATCTTTTGTAGCAAAATCCAGAACTTTTTGATGAATTTATATATTGATTACATGTGATAGTTGGAGGTGAGGATTGGGTGCAATCTTTGATTTCTTTTTCCATTTTCGCAGATGTGTCTGGTGGACAAGACATGACAGGATATTATCCACGTGAAACTGACAGGGCAGGATACCATTCCCTTAGAGATAATGACGCAATCGGAGCATCTTATGACCGTTACTTGCGCAATGGGGTACAAACACAGTTTTCATATTGTACTAGTTTTTTTTTTTGGCTAGAGTACAGAGTTATTGACTTGCCTTTTATCTGTGTGATAAATTCATAGATGGCCTCTGTCGGTGCCAATGACACTGCTAGGGCTGCAGGGATGGGTGCTGGAATGGGTGCTGGAATGGGTGCAGGGATGGGTGCTGGAATGGGTGCAGCGATGGGTGCTGGGATGGCTGGCTATGGTGTTGATGATCGGCGTATGATGGGTGTTGGGATGGGATATGGTGGCAGACCTGAGCCTCCTCTTCCGCCGGATGCATCACCCACTCTGTATATTGAGGGCTTACCTGCAAACTGCACACGACGGGAGGTTTCACGTATCCTTCTCCAAAATCTTATTACTATTCTTTCTGTTGACCCCCTTTAAATGTCACATTCTAACATTAGTTCTGCTTTTGTTGAGAGACTTATGGTGCTGTCTTCCTTTTTTTTCCTTTAAACCTTCATATTGTTCATCTTCTCTAGTTTCTTTCTGTTTATATGCTTCAATTCTTGTTTAATCCGAAGTACTGATTGGGGGTACCTGTGTGTGTTGCCACTCTCTTGAAATATTTTTGCTCCTTAACCTTTTGCTTCCTTAGATATATTTCGCCCATTTGTTGGTTTTCGTGAAGTGCGTCTTGTCAACAAGGAGTCCAGACATGTAAGTTAACTATGCTGCACCCTTTGACCCCATTAGAAATTTTCTGCTCTAGCGATCGATGATGCTTATCTGTCAACCTTTCTGCAGCCTGGTGGAGATCCACATGTGTTGTGTTTCGTCGATTTTGATAACCCTGCTCAGGCTACAATTGCTTTTGAAGCATTGCAAGGTGAAACTACTTATATTTGTGGATATGGACTGTGTAGTTGGGTTGATTTCCTGATTCTTAGCTTTGGTAACGTTCAGTTCTGCATGTATATGCTTGTTAAATTCTATTATGCATGTCTGCATTTTGTCTATTGTTTGTCGTGAAGCTTGTTTTGAAAATTGTAAATACTTGTTCATTCTACATCTAACTTCATGTGAATTCCGTGACATAGTTTTTAAATTAGTTCACACATTAGTTATAGCAGGAAGCTGGTAGTCAGGTGGGTATTCAGCGGTAAACCCAACTATTATTCAATGCACCCTGGCAGATGGCAACACAGCTCAGCATTTCCTAACAAGCTAATATTCTTCTCGTGCATTTAATAGGACTAGTGAGTCATGAGTTTTGCGCTTTTGCGCTCTGTTTCATATTGAAGTGCACATTATGCCCTTCCTAATACATTACATCTAGGAATTGTTACGAAGTTGAGAAACTCATGACCAGAGTGCAGAAACTAGGCGTTCTTAGGTTCTACACTTTGAGCTTGCTTTGTACCAGCATCCCTGCCAATTTAATAAGATTCCCATTAGCATTCTGATCTACTGGATCTAAGATTTGCATTTCCATCTTATCTGCATTGGGGAATAGGCCTTTGGTTGAAGGCAAAAACCTAACTCTTCCTATTCATGTTACGGTCCGATCTCTTGTTCACGCGACGACCTGAGCAATATAAAACCATCGCGATTCGTTTTGCAGGTTATAAGTTTGACGAACACGATCGTGACTCAGCCCATTTGCGGCTGCAATTCTCACGCTTTCCTGGTCCAAGGTCAGCTGGCGGGCCTCGCGGTAGGCGTTAAGACGTGCGGACCTCGTGGTTGCCGAACCTATCGTTTATGCGAGCGATCCAACTACGGCGGGCTAACGCTTCGATATGCGCTGAATTCCGGGGCGGTGACTTTTTTAGGGTTTGTCAACTCATTTCGTGAATGCATGAAAGGGACAATGCAATAAGTGATATTCGGCCAAATGTTATTAGATTGCCGTAGAATGTGTAGGGATGGAACTTTAAGTTATTCGGCATACTGTATCTGCTGCCTTAGTTATTATGGTCTACTGTAACTTCATTACCTTGCTTCACATCTGAGACAATTTGAGTTTGCTATCCTGTGGATTTATATCTGTTTTGAAAATGAAAACTAGATGGTGTTAGCCTATCTTAGTAATATATGTTGCCCCATTGGTGTTTCTTGCCCATATACCAAAATTTTGTCTAATTTAATCTAGGACTAATACTCTGCCCTTTTTTTCCCCCCTAAATAAAAATGTGGTTGCCTAGGAACTGTGGTGGAACCCCCGGACGCCCCTAGTTAAGCATGAAAGGTGGTCAGGGGCTACTGTGCCTATTTCCGACTTCATTTTGTACGGCTGAGGTCCTGGTCCTCTAAGATCAGCTATGCTAAATGGATAATAGTTGCTGATTAGAACTTCGATAGTGAACTTTTGAATTTTTTGTTGGCATTAATAAATCTGATTACATTTTTCTGAGTACATTTTCCTTAAAGAAGCAAAGTGTTTTTCCTTAAGTTTGATGTGATTGTTGTTGTTCCCAGTTAGTGTGAACTGCTTTGGAGTTTTGGGGTATCTGTAGTATTTTGTGAGAAATAACACAATAACTGATAGACTTGATCAAGATGTGAAGTTAAGGAATGTGATACGTTCTGGGATGGAGGTAGGTAGTATTTAGATTTCATGTGTTTCTAAACTGCAAATAACATGGACTTGCGGTGCTGTATTCTTTGGTGAGGGTATTGTTTGCATATAGTGAACTAATTTGTGATGCAGCAATGCCATTCCAATCCTGACTCCATAAGCAGCGTCAAAGTAGCTATGCACTGTTCAGTCATGCATCTGTACTCAGGTAATACAAAGTTTAGTTGTGTTCAAATGCATTGAAATGATGTCCTCTAGAACATGTAATTTTTGGTTTAATTTAGATCCCTTGTCACTTGGGAAGTCTTTTGTTCCTCGTTTTCTTTCATCTGTCCTCCTAAAGAAGTATACGCCAAATGGTATTATTCGTATTCATTTTCATATGGTTATGCTATTGTATATGCTTATTTCTTCTTAATGGGTGGAATGTTTTACAAATACTTTACATGATGTGTTGAAACTGGCTGTGCGATTTATTTACCAAATAGGTACGCTTATTCCTTCACAGTTTTATATGCATGGTCTTTTGCTTGTGTGTTTAGTGCAGTGGTTTTTCTAGCATTTGCATTAATAACTACATTTCGGCGTGTGCTAATCTGCCTTTGCTAACCCCTGTCGACCTTTCGAAATTGTTTCTTCGCTTTTTGTAATTGATCTGATTCCCTACTTATGTGCTGGTCAGTATGTATGTGCGTTTGCATTTCTCCTGTGCCGTGAACGTTTTTGCATCAGCCGTGAGTTATTGCACTTTGATTGCTCTATTTTATTTATGATATTTAAGCACACAGCTGTTTGCCATCAGTGTGAATCTTCATACTAAAAGGTTTATGAGTATTCTTGCCGAGTGGTTCTGAGCTGCTGAACTCGAGTTCTGGGTGTCTGTTTCGACAACAAGCAGGCAGCAGCATTCTATAGACAAGACTTCGATTTGTTACAGATTTGTAGCTTAAAGTACCCCGCATTTAAAGTTGCGCCAAGATAACTGGACCGTAAAGGCTACCTCTTGGATTTAGCTTGGGCCCAGTGGTTCCCTTCCGATTTCTGGCGCTGCGCTCGCTCCCCATACCTCTACACGCGGTAGCGTGCCTAGGTTTCAAGCTATGCTAAGATTTTCGCACGAGGCAGTATTTCACTCTTAATAAAACGCACTGACGGTACCCTGTGCTCATTTGAGTAGTATGAATTATGAATAAAATGGTTATTTAATTATTTATGTGCCGTTGACCCACCATTTTAGATACGCTTCATCAATATAAATCGGCTCCGATTATGAAGGTGACGAGTAAATGGGCGATCTCTAAACTATTCTTGAGTTCCCATCTAGGTCCCTGAACTTATGAAATCGCAGTTTGGGGTCTCTAATCTATCGTAATGTGTCATCGTAGTCCAATCGTGCTACGTTGATTTGCTAGTACACCAGTTCTGTGAGTAGAATTGGCAGCGAATATTGGGTGAGAACTTTGCAAATTCGCCCTAGTACTTGTTTAGGTTGAATAAGCCCCCTCATCGTCTCTATTTAACTCATCCTCTCTTCCTCCTTTGTTAATCCTCGATTCAACCCCTCTCTCTTCCTTCTCTTTTTCTCGTCTCGTGTTCATCTTTGATGCCAAACGCTACCCTCCAAATCAGTAGCATGAACCCGTATAGCGTGTTCCAAATTGGGATCCCTAGTATATATCTAATGACCTGCATTCGTGGAGTGGGGTAAACAACTGGGGGAATTGAGTGTGCTGTCGTCATTTAGGTGCAGGACGAACGGGAAGCTGCCGTTGATTACTTACCTAGATTGCAATTGTAGGCAAATTGTTGAGTTAAGGTTCAAGGAGCCATAGTGGACTGTTCAAAACTTCTACATGGCCCAGACACAGGGTAAGTCTAAAGTAACTCTTCTCCAAATAAGCTTCTATGTGTTCTTTTGATGTAATGTGACTTGAATGCAGCAAGATAGAACCTCCTGCCCATTTTGGCACCGGGAGGAAAGTTACTTATATGCATTGAAGTATAGCTGAGGTAAAGGAGAACATTTTTACACTGGGACGACGAAGGAAGCACGTGGAGGTGGGGATTCTTAGTTGTGATACTCAAAATAAGACTTTGGTGGTTTTAGGTTATGAATAACTTGGTTGTTAAATTGCCTTGTGTCTATGCTAGGCATAGTTGTTCTTGGGATGTTGCTGGCTGTGGAGATGGAGAAGAAATAAATGTTAGGTGTAATGTATTATAAAGAGTACTTCTATTGTAAATGTCAACTAGTAGCAGATGTAATAAGAGTACGCTATTCAAGCTTAGCAGATTGTACGTTGTCTAATTGCTTCGGTTTAGACTTGATCATGGGTCACATGATCTGACTTGTCCGAAAAAACCCGACCGACCAATGCATCGAACATCCTCTACATAATTTGTGACCTATAACCCAAAAACCCGGGCTAACCTAGAAAAACCTGAACACAACCCCTGCTAGAAATAGCCTAACCTAACCTGTTTGACGTGTTCATTGGGTGGTCAGGAGCTAAAAATTAAGCCGACGTTTTTTTTCTTCTAGTCTAGCACGACGCGATCTGGCCCAGTGTTTAGATAGGCCTACTGTGTGCTCCAAGGGTATGCAGGAGGGCAAGCTTGGTCGTCAGTGCTGAGTTAGGAGATGCGTAGCTCACAGATCATGGCTGAATTTAGCACTATTTGTCGATGTCTAATGACCTATATAAAATATATAAACCCTTTAGTAAAATATGGTTAAGGCTTATCAAAACTTATGCTATTATTATGTATAACAATGGATTGATTTTGATGATCTTGGTTAGATTTACTCCGTCGTGGTGGATGCCGTTGGAGTCGAAGAGGCAACCGAGAGAGCGTGGCATCGCCGCATCGGTGAATGTGTGGTCGCTGGGAGACAAGGAAGAGGCAGGAAAGCGCGGAAGTGGTCGGCCCGGCGGAGGGAGGTTGAAGGCACGGGACTAGGGCCGTAATTGGGCTGGACCAGGTCTTCTCCTAACTGGCTCACCCAGCTTTCTTGGGCGGCAAATCCGAGTGCGCTGACCAAGAACAGGCGGTAGCACCAGAGCACCGTCTCCACGTGGAAAAGTCCAGAAGGAGCTGGCCCGCGCGACCCAGCCGTCCATCACGATCTCGACGGCTAGGAAGTGACCATTATTTCCCAATCGGCCCGTCTCTTTCCCCAGTCCCCACCAACCACCTCCAAACCCCCTCTCCATTTCCACGCCGCCGCCAACATGTCCACCTCGGCCGCCGCCTCCGCCACCGCCGCGTGGACCACCCTACCCTCCGTCAATCCCCGCCGGTCGTCTTCTGCGCTCAGGCTCCCATCGTCCCTCCGCCGGTCCCTTCCAAGCAGGCTCCTATCATCGTCACCCTCGCGCTCTCCGCTCGTGCCGGTCTCCGCCATGGCCTCTCCCGCCGCCGGTGAGACGGCCTCCAGGAAGAAACTCATCATATTCGACGTGGAGGAGGACCTCGCGGCGTCGTTGGCCAAGTACACGGCGGAGCTGTCGGCGAAGTTCGCTGCGGACCTCGCGGCCTTCACCGTCGTGCTCTCCGGCGGCTCCCTCGTCAAGGCCCTCAGGTTCTGGACCGGCCTCCGACCGCCAAGTTGTTGGTTTCCGGATTGTGTGGGTGCCTTAGGTCTTGACCTTTTGGGTTTCGTAGGAAACTAGCGGAGCCGCCGTACCTGGAGGCGGTGGATTGGAGTAAATGGCATGTGTTCTGGGTGGATGAGAGGGTGGTGCCCAAGGATCACGCGGATAGCAACTACAAGCTCGCCTCAGATGAGTTCCTCTCTAAGGTACTCACTTGTTTAGTCAAATCCAACTGTTTCGGTTGTGAAAGCTGGACGATGGTTTCTCTTGATCTGATACTGTGCAGAAATGGGTTCATGATCTGTTTTGAGTGATGGAGAATGGAAATGTGGAATTATTTTTAGTAGAGTATATACTTTTTTTATCTTCTTGTCTTGTTGGACTTATTACTGTCATGGTGTTAGTGATATAGGGTTATTTTGATTATAATGAATATTGAGCAAAATGTAGATTTTGGAGATAGTGAGTTGTCTGTCCGGGAAGTCTCAGGAAAAAAACAATCGGTAACGTATGCTTAACAGTTAATACAGTATGTAACGCTGTAGGTAGTC